TCCTCGTCCGACTCTTTGGCAAACGTCACGATCGCAACGTCATAGAGCTCGGTCGTCAAGAGCGTGTGCACCAAGCCCGCTTCGTCCATACCAAGAGTCTCAAAGCTCGCGACGTCGTTGCTAGTGCTTGACGCAGCGCCTTCATCCGCATTATAGTATGCTATCGAATGTAGTGGCAGCTCGGCGACGTGCTGGAAGGCGGCGACGCCTTCGTTGTAGTCGCACGTCCCCGGAAACATATCCTCGTTTCCCTTGATGATGTCGAGACGGAAGACGAGTGCCATGCGCACTCCTCTTGTGATGGGCGTTGAGGCAGGAACGAGATCGCGGAAGGTCGTGACCATCTCGACTTTGCATTTATCGGGCGTCCATGTCTCGGTCATGTAGCCATAGCGAAATGCCATCTCGCCGCCGTCGTAGGCCGATGGCAAGTGCAGAACCGTGTAGCCAAAGGTATCGTCCGTCATGGTCGTTGGGAGGAGCGCGGCGCCGGTGTCAACGGCGTCAATAACGAGGTGCGAGAGAACGATGTTGGCGTCCGTGATCGCACTGGCCACCTCCTGATGGAGCACGTTCTGGACGACCTGGCGCCATGCAGCAAGTTGCGCAAAAGCAAAGGCCGTTGGTAAAAGTGTGCCATTGGGAGCGTCAAGTGCTGCGAGGGCTGCTGCGTGCGCAGGTGCGAGCGGCCACGTGATGGCACCGTCGATGCCGTCAATACGAAGCAGTGGCGCGGTGTTGGCGTCCGGACGACTTGTCCGCAACTAGGGATAGGTTTCATCGACGCATACGCTGCGTCTTGGTAGATGGCTTTGTCAGGATCACTGGTCTCAAAGGAGCGATGCCACATCGTTGGTACTTGGGAAGCTCGGGGAGATGGAATGGAGCAACTCCTCCACCGCTTAATGGTCGGTGGTTGTTTTTGTCGTAGAGTACCAGAATTGAAGGCATGGCCTCACCGTCATGTTGGATTTAACCGCTATGACTCGCGGTTCTGCCAAGACGGACCAAAGGACACCCGTGACGAGCGTTCGCGAGGCGCGTCGGATGGGCGGAAGCGAGGCTTCGTTTGGCTTCAGTTGCTTGTTGGCCTCTGCTCGTCGACCTGCTATTCGCATTCGATTGACCGCTAGGCATAGGAAGGGACTTGGCGGGTTGGCAGCGACAAGGCTATATGCTCAAAACTATACCAATGGATGTGTGCAACCAACAAGAAAGCCTCCACCAGTCGAGGAACGAGCATGTTTTCCAACTGCCATAATTAGCGTCTTTAGCGCTCGGTGGTACGTCGCTGGCGCTTGACGCGGTGTTGATCGGTCGCCTCGTCATCGCGGTTGGCGCCGTCGTGCGCTACGCGTAGCTGGGCGTCGGCCAAGAGCGTCTCGAGGGCAACGACACGTGCTCGATCCTCGGCGTCTCGACGCTGGGCCTCGAGATGCTTGAAAAGCTGGCTCTCGCTCACACCGCCTTTCGGCTGCAGCTTGGTTACATCGCATAGCGTCCGACGGCGACCATCACGAAAGAGCTCGAGGCGATGCCGGTTGGCGTCGAGACAGCGCCGCGCTGGACCGCACAGCTTCTTGCACTCGGACACGTCCAGCGTGGTTTGCGTACCGTCGTGCAAGAAGCCGACCAAGATCTGACAGAGCTGGCAGTGGCTCGCGTCGAGTTGAATGTCGTCAAAGACGTAGTCGGTCATGTCGGGTAGCACTGGGCGGCTACGAACGTCGCCGATCACAGCGAGGCAGCGCTGCGCAATGCGCTCCATCTCGTCGAAGTGCTGCGGCACGACTTTGGCGAGCAGTTGGGCCAAAGGAACGTAGAGCTTCCGCGCCGGGTCCCGCGCCCTGCCTCGACGACGAGCGGGAAGTAGCGCATACTCGTGGTCTTCGTCGCCAAGCGTGGATGGTCTTGCCGGGGTCTGCCGCGCCGGGCCTCGGTCGCGAAAGGTGGACATCGGAATCACAAATCCGTTGTCGTCTTCAAGCGTTGATGATTCCAGCGTCTCACAGTCCATGGCCTCGAGCCATCGCTGGAGAAGCGACGGCACTTGCGTCGGGTCGACGATCGCAAGCACCTCGACCGCCAGCAACCCTGGTTGCTCCCACGAAGTGTAGGCGCCACCGTACCTTGGCCGCGAGAGGTGCTCGGCCGACAGCGTCGGCGCAAGTGCCAGAACAAGCGTCGCAATACGAGCGCGCACCTCGTCCTGCAGCGTCCGTTGATGGAGCAGCTGCCGTGTGCCGACAAGTGACGCTGGAAACAAGAGCGTCCAGATCGCTTCAAATCGGACCACGTCGCAGCGCCCCGCTCGGTCCATCACGTCCAGAACGTTCGCAAAGATGGTCATTCCCACCGTCGTATGCCTTACTTCGTCGACGTTGAACATCTCAATCGCCTCCACGAGGACGCCGACATACGGGTCTAGAGCGATCGTGGGCTGGCTGGCCGACGCGAGTAGGAGCGCTTCGGGAAGGTACAAAAGTAGCTTTGGTTGCAGCAAATTCTTCTTCATGCGAAGCAGCGTCGGCGCGCCGCATTGACGCGCAAACAGAAACGAGTCGACCACAAGGATCATACTTGGCGGCAAGAAGGTGCTGAGGTAGTTGCCGCCGGCCGCATTCGGCGCGCCTTCGTCGAGGTACCAGTCGAGGAG